CCGCCCCTCGTGCCCACGGTCTCACCTTTCTGTTTCTGCCTAACTAGGCAAGGGACTTTGGCCCAGGAAAAAAAAAATATACATGTATATTATGTATATACAAGCACACAAGCACGCACACGCGCTCCTCTTCTCTCTCTCTCTCTGTCTCTCTTTCTTGTTCTGTTTCACATGCCGGTTCAGACCGGCAGAGACACATGGACGAACATAGAGAACAAGTAAGCCGTACATGCAGAACGGAATGTGTTTGGTATGTTGAAGCCGGAGTTGTCATTCAGTGATGCTGATGTTCAAGCTTCCGTATTGTAGTTAAGAGCATGCCAGATTTGGCCAAACGTGTCGAAAAGCTATGGGACCCCTCCCAAAGCGATACGATCAGCGAAGATGATCTGTTGCGACATTTCATTGCCGAATTTTAACGAGTGTGACATGTGGCTAGGTAGTCGATACGCCAAGCGTTACCCAGTGGGTGCCCCAATCCATACTCACCAGATCGTTGCATGAGCCACTGCCTAATCTTATAGAATCACTGTTGTTGTTGCTCTCACTACTGTCACACCATTGCTACGACGACTCCTATTGACGATATTACTATTGCTACTTTTACCTTACTACTCGTACTACTTACTATGTGGCGATACCCCACAGAAAGAACTGGCCAGAGCCTTGTAAAGCAATAGGACCCCCACAATCCTGCATGACCAGGCCTGAAACAATAAGCTTTGACAGAAGCTCACATAATTAATATATATATATATATGTATGTATGTATGTATGTATGTATGTATGTATGTATGTATGTATGTATCATATACAACATGTCGTAGTTTACAGTACATATAGAGATACACCCTCTATTTATCTATCTATCTATCTATCTATCTATCTGTCGACCTACCTACCTATCTATCTATCTATCTATCTATCTATTTATCTATCTATTTATCTATCTATCTATCTATCTATCTATCTATCTATCTATCTATATATATACCTATATATGCAGACATACACGCGATGTATAATAGATACGTAATCGATAAGACCTAGCTAGTCTAGGTATCATCGTGCAAGCCTTTTATTCATTGGTATTACTATCACTGTTGTTATTGCTGTGGTGTTTGTTGTGATTGTTGCTCCTATTGTTACTTCTGTTCTATACTATCATTATATTACATTCTTTATATTTAATTCAGTAGGTTTTTGACATTTATCATACCACAATATGTTCCAATATAAGACAATATACAATATAGTATAGTATGTAATGTTTTATTTTATCATGCTATGTTATATTTCATTATACTGAATTATCTCAACTTGTCTCATACTTCTTGATAGTACACCAAATTATACTATGCTACATTGTATCATATTATTTAGACTGGGTCGTACATTTATACGTTATCACCAGATGATCTCATGTGATCTTATGTTACATCATATCATGGTTTATTACATATTGTGTACTATACTATGCTACATGTTTTGCGTATGGCTCTTGTCCTGATCCCAGGCTTTGAATCCGGCCAGCGACTTCCGATTGGTGCAGCGCTCGGTGGTGACCCCAGTGAGCAAGTGCTCTTAGGGTTTAGGGTTTAGGGTTTAGGGTTCAGGTCTGGATTTCACAAGCAGGTTCAAGGCCTAGCAGCTTTTTGAGTTCTGAACGGACATC